CCCCTATGGAGCCACGAAGCGTGCGAGCGAGGGGTGTGCCGAACTGGCGAGGTGGCGGCATGCGGGCCCTGGCACTGGGGCCTTCGGTGTAGCTCTCGATGGGGCCACGAAACGTGTGAGAGGTGTGCCGAAATGGCGAGGTGGCGGCATGTGGGCCCTGCCACTGGAGCCTTCTGTGGAGCTCCTGATGGGGCCACGAAACGTGTGAGGGGTGTGCCGAAATGGCGAGGTGGCAGAAACCCATGCAAATGGCCACAATATTGCAGATCGCAGCCCCCCAAGGGAGCTGCGAGGTCCCGTCCAGGTCCACGTACTCCGCTACTCCGCCGTGCTTCCCAGGAGCCCACGAAAGTAGCCGCACTTGCGCAAATCGCAGCCACCCAGGGAACTGCGAGGTCCCGTCTGTGTCCGCGTACTCCGCTTCTCCGCCGTGCATCGAAGGGGCCCACGAGACTGGCAACAATTGCGCAATTCGCAACCACCCGAGGGAACTGCGAGGTCCCGTCTGTGTCCGCGTACTCCACTACTCCGCCATGCATCGAAGGGGCCCACGAGAGTGGCGACAGTGGCACATTTCGCAGCAACCCGAGGGAACTGCCAAGTCCCGCCCGGGTCCGCGTACTCCACCACTCCGCCGCGCCTCCCGGGAGCCCATGAAGAAGCAGCAGTTGCGCAGTCTGCAGTCACCCAAGGGGCTGCGAAGTCCCGTCGAGGTCCTCGTATTCCACTACTGCGCCGTGCTTCCCAGAAGCCCACGAGAGTAGCGGCAATGCACAGTTCGCAGCCCCACCGAGGAGCTGCGAGGTCCCGGCTGGGTACGCGTACTCCGCCACTCCGCCACCCAAGGAGCTGCGAGGTCCCGCCTAAGTCCGCATACTCCGCTACTCCGCCCTGCCTCCCGGGCGCCCATGACAGTGGCGACAGTTGCACAGTTCGCAGACACCCAAGGAGCTGTGAATGCCCGTCTGGGTCCGCGTACTCCGCTACTCCGCCGTGCTTCCCAGGAGCCCACGAAAGCATTGGCAAATGCACAATTCGCAGCCGCACCAAGGAGCTGCGAGGTCCCGTCTGGGTACGCGAACTCCGCTACTCCGCCACCCAAGGAGCTGCGAGATCCCGCCTAGGTCCGCGTACTCCGCTACTCCGCCGTGCCTCCCAGGAACCCACGAAATGGGCGACAGTTGCTCATTTCGCAACCACCCAGGGAGCTGCGAGGTCCCGTATGGGTCCGCGTACTCCGCTACTCCGACGTGCCCCCCAGGAGCCCACGAAAGTGGCGACAGGAGCAGCGCAGAAGGTGGCAGGAGGAGGGAGGAGGGAGGGGGGGGGGGAAGACGGGTGGGGTCAACAGCGCTCTATTCAAAACGAGAACCCGACACAGGAGGATTGGTTTTAAAAAAAAACAACCAAATGCGCCGACATGGGGGGGAGGGGGTGGGGGGACTTCCTCAGGAAACAGAGCTACGCCACAAAATGCGCTGGAGGTGGGGCCGACAGCTCCAGGGGGGCACAATTCCTCAGGAAACAGAGCTACGCCACAAAATGCGCTGGAGGTGGGGCCGACAGCTCCAGGGGGGCACAATCGTGAGAGCGGTACGGCGCAGGCAGTGTGAAAATGTTTGGGGGAAGCGTGAGCTGGGATCCCGAGCAAGTTTACACTTCGGGGCAAGGAGCAGGAGGAGGAGGCGGAGGAGTGGGAGGAGGAAGAGGATGGGGAGGAGGAGGAGGAGGAGGAGGAGGAGGAGGAGGAGGAGGAGGAGGAGGGGAGGAGCGGAGGAGAGGAGGAGAGGAGGAGGAGGAGGAGGAGCAGCAGGAGGACGCAGGACGCAGCATAGAACGCCGAAGCATCCGGAAACGCGACGACGACTATATAAAGTTAGGCAAGTGAGTGTGATAAATCACCAACACTCAATAGAGAGACCAGACAAACTAATCATCAAAGGGCGACGCCGGTTGCTGGATGTTTGCCCTCGGCGAGCCAGTCCCTGGCTCGCCGACGGGCCGCATTCGGGGGTTTAAGTGGGCAACGTGCCCCGAGGGCATCGAGCTTGGGGGACCCAAAGGCCACCCGGGCGCCACGCGAAACGAGCGCTGGAGCCGTGCGCGCTCCTCCGTGTGAGCCCGCCCGTGCCCATCGGGGCAGGGCGCGCGGAGGCCGCAGCGTCAGCAGGGAGGATCATGAACTCACGGCGACCTTCACTGATCGCGTGCTCCTCCTCCTCCTCTCTCCTCCTCCTCCTCCTCCTCCTCCTCCTCCTCCTCCTCCTCTCCTCCCCCTCCCTCCTCCTCCTCCTCCTCCTCCTCTCTCTCCTCCTCCCTTCCTCCTCCTCCTCCTCCTCTTCCCCTCCTCCTCCTCCTCCCCCTCCTCCTCCTCCTCCTCCTCCTCCTCCTCCTCCTCCTCCTCCTCCTCCTCCTCCGACTCCAGCACGAGAGGTCGTAGGAGAAGGAGCAGACACGATATGGGGCAAGGGTGCGAGGATCAGCGAAACGCGCAGGGTCGCCTCAGGAAGCCCTTGAGCTCGGAGATGATGAAGGGCGTGTCCTCGTCTGGCGAAAAAAAATGACACCCCCCTTCGACCCAAGGCCCCCCTTTCTGGCTCGCCTTCCTGTTCGTTTCGTCTTTCCCTCCCCCTCACCAGACCTCCGACCTCGCAACGTTGCAGGATGTCGGCCACGGAGCTCCCAAGCTCCATCCTCCAGGCCACTTTCCCGTCGCGGGACGTTCGCGTTGATGACACCAGGGTCCAGTAACGATCCCCAGAGGCAGCAAATAGGAGGAAGGCAGCAACCTCTCACAGTGGGTAGGTACACTCTCGATGTGCTCATTATGTGGTGCGACCTCAGAGGATGCAATACACTTACCGGTAGTGATGTCATCAACTCCAATGTTTGCGCAAGCATGCCACACACACACACACACACACGCAACTTGCTCGCGCAAAAATCCACTGGGTGGGTGACGAATATGTTCACGGTAACGGTGTGGACGACGCAGATGACGACGATGGCTATGGTGATGAAGCGGATGGTGATGAAGCGGACGGCGCTGGCGATGATGACGATGGTGCTGCGCACAGAAATTTGCCGAAGGCGACGACATCGACGATGATCATGATGATGACGGCACTGCCGCAAGCGTGCTCTCGCCGATGACTGAAAGGCACGAGCTCACTACACAAGGATGGAAGTGTGAGCGGGGGGAGCGGGAGCAAGAGGGTGAGGAGGAGGGGAGGGGGAGAAGGGGGAGGCGGGGCAGAGGGAGGAGGAGGAGGATGGGGAGGATGGAAGAATGGGGGCGAGGAGGAGGAGGAGAAATAGGAGGAGGAGGAGGAGGAGGAGGGCGAACGACGACGACGACGACGACGACAACGACGACGACGGCGACGATAGGGAGGGAGAGGGTCCTTCTTGAAGCGCTGCATCGACTCCACCACGCGCGCGAGGGGCAGCGCGGGGGCGTGCGGGCACCTGTGTCGCAAGCGCGAGAAGAGCAGAATAGTGAGCGCTCATCTGCGGCGGCTCCCGCTGCGCCATGCGCCGCTGGAACGACGCAGGCCAGTGATTATCATCCCTCTACCTCACAAGGACGAGGAGGTTGAGCAAACGGAGGAGGAGGAGGAGTAAGAGGAGGAGGAGGAGGAGGAGGAGGAGGAGGAGGAGGAGGACGGACGAGGACGAGAGGAGGAGGAGGAGAGGAGGAGGAGAGGAGGAGGAGGAGGAGAGGGAGGAGGAGGAAACGGAGGAGGAGGAGGACGGAGCGAGGAGGAGGCGGAGGAGGAGGAGGAGGAGGAGGAGGAGGAGGAGGAGGAGGAGAGGGAGAGGAGAGGAGAGGAGAGGAGAGGAGAGAGAGGAGAGGAGAGGAGGAGGAGAGGGAGAAAGAAGGAGCGGCCAACAGAGGGGGTAAGGACGGTGCTAGCTAGTAGAGTAGGAGAAAAGCAGGGGGGGGAGGAAGGAGGAGAAGGAGAAAAAGGACGCGCCACAAAGGGGGGGAAAGGTGCCAGTGGGAGGAGGAGGAGGAGGAGGAGGAGGAGGAGGAGGAGGAGGAGGAGGAGGAGCGGCCACCAGACGGGTAAATGTGCTGAGAGGAGGAGGAGGAGGAGGAGGAGGAGGAGAGGAGAGGAGGAGGAGGAGGAGGAGGACGACGAGGAGAAAAGGAGGAGAAGGAGGCGGAGGAGGAGTAAGAGGAGGAGAGAGGAGGAGAAGGAGGAGGAGATCAAGGAGTAGAAAGAGGAGGAGGAGGAGGAGGAGGTAAGGAGGAGGAGGAGGGGAGGAGGGGGAGGAGGAGAAGGAGGAGGAGGAGAGGAGGAGGAGGAGGAGGAGGAGAGGAGGAGGAGGAGGAGGAGGAGGAGGAGGGGAGGAGGAGGAGGAGACGAGGACGGAAGGAGGAGGAGGAGGAGGAGGAGGAGGAGAGGAGGAGCAGGGGGAGGGGGAGGAGGAGGAGGGGGAGGAGGAGGAGGAGGAGGAGGAGGGGAGGAGGAGGAGGGAGGAGCGCGGAGGAGGAGACGAGGAGGATGAGAGTTCTCATCAAGGAGCGGCCACCAGAGGGGGGTAAGGTGCTAGTCGGAGGAGGGGAAAAGGAGGAGGAGGAGAAGGAGGAGAAAGAGCGGCCACCAGAAGGGGTAAGGTGCTAGTAGGAGGAGGAAACGGAGGAGGAGAAGGAGGAGAAGGAGAGGCCACCAGGGGGGAAAGGTGCTAGTAGGAAGAGGAGGAGGAGGAGGAGGAGGAGGAGGAGGAGAAGGAGGGCAGGTGGAGGAGGAGGAGGAGGGGCAGGAGGAGGAGGAGGAGGAGGAGGAGGAGGAGGAGGAGGAGAGGAGGAGGAGGAGGAGGGAGAAGGGAGAGGAGGGAGGAGTGAGGAGGAGGAGGAGGAGGAGGAGGAGGAGGAGGAGGAGCAGGGGGAGGAGGAGGAGCAGGAGGACCCAGAACTCCGACGTCGTTACTTTTCTTCACGACCTGGACCCCTGGAGGGATGGCCCTCCCACCCCGGACCGGCTCTTCGTGAAACGCTTGTGGACGGCCCTGGGGCACGGCGACGGCTCCTGGAGGGCGAAAGCGACCAAAAGCATCCCGCCGTGACTCCTTCACGGCGTGAGGGAAACAGACAATGACGTAAACGTAAAAAGTCGGAGGTCCGCGCGGATGTCTCGGATCGGCGATGGGGCCCCCTGGCGGAGCCTCCATCGCTGCCCTTGGCGCGCTCCGTGCGCCAGGGAGGGGGTCCTTAGCCGATTCGAGAGAGCCGCGCGGACCTCCGAGTTCTTGTGTTTATGCCATTGCTTGCTCCCCGAGAGGAGCGGCGGGGGGGAGGTGAGCATGACGCGCTATAGAAGGCGGGCTTGTGATACAACTGTCCCCCCTCGGTGCTCTTGTCCAAGGATTGCCCGTCGTATGAGCGTGTATGGTGCACGTCTCTTCCACGGCTTCTTCTGCCCTGGCATCCCGCCCCGCTCGGGTTGTGCCGGTGCTGCCCGCCCAGTGCCCGAATGCCCTCCAGACGCCGCCGCGCGCGCGTGGGGCAGCCAAGAACTCGCAGGGGGGGGAGAGGAGTCGAGGAGAGCTGGAGGAGGGCTGGCTGGACACTGGGCACGATTCCAGACACTGCCCCTGCTCGTCCCGCGGGAGGGCCTCCGAGGGGCCAGGCGGTGGCGCCGCGGTGCCAGCACGCAGAACAGTGGAGGCTGAGGAGCAGGGGAAAGCGAAAGGACTGGCTGGCCGACTCACTCATTCTGTCGTTGCCGCTGCCGCTGGACTAAAGGCTCATGCTCCGTCAGGGACAAAAGAGCACCAGCCCGAGGAACTCCGCGAGTGTTGCTCGAGGGAAACTGAATTCGAATGACCATGCTCGGGGTGTGCCAAAACACTAGCAGGAGAACGGCACAACAATAATTGAGAGGATGAGGATAAAGAACTGGAGGAGGAGGAGGAGGAGGAGGAGGAGGAGGAGGAGGAGGGGGAAATTAAGGGGTTTCAACCCCTCTGAACTCTGAAGAACTCAACGACTCCAAAATCCTCTGGGCCCGCGCCAGCCCCCCCCTGATGTTGCCCCTGACCCGAACGCCGCCCCGACCGAAACGGCGGGCCCAGCCGACGGGGCCTCTTTGCGGCGCTCCAGCACCGGAGCACCTCGCGGTGGTTGCCGTCCTCGAACGCTAGGTTGAGGCTTCTGCACAGCTGCTCGCCAGACGGGGCCTTGCTGGGGGGAGGAGGAGGAGGAGCAGGAGGAGGAGGGGGAAGAGGAGGAGGAGGGGGAGGAAGAGGAGGATGCAGCCGAGCTGCTGCCAGAAGGAGCGATAAATCGAGGAGCGGGCCCCATCTGTAGCCCCCAGAGAGCCTGGGTGCACGAGAAATGCTGAAGGAACAGCCATAAAAGGAGTTGAAGAACAGCGATCCCCTTCTGGACCCGAAACGTTCCTTAGTTCAGCGGCGACAACCGGAGAGGAGCATAGACGTCTTCCTCCTCCTCTTCCTCCTCTTACTCCTCCTCCTCCTCCTCCTCCTCCTCCTCCTCCTCCTCCTCCTCCTCCTCCTCCTCCTCCTCCTTCCTCCTCCTCTTCCTCCTCTTCCTCCTGATCCTCCTCCTCCCCCTGCTCATCCCCTTCCAATTCCTGATCATCCTCCTTTCCTGGGATTTCGGAGGGGTGTCTTCGTCACCAGAACTGGACGCGGCCTGGGAACGCGCCAGTCTGGTGCCCAGGAGAGGTCTCGAGACTTGCTTTGGGCAGATCTTAGCAGGAGGGATATGAGGAATTGGTTGAATCTGATTGGTGTATTGATTTACGGCGTAAATACAATGGAGATACGTTTAAACCCTCCTTTATTGACGTTTTCGTTGGCCGAAGGTCCAAAGAAACCCTCGCCCCCTCCATTGGAAATTGACGCCGTAATGCAAAGAATGCGAAATAAGTGTGGGCGAAACCCCCAGCAGCCCCAATGATGGTAGCCCCAATGATGGCAGCTGCCCAGAGGGTGGGGCCTGCGATGGTCTCCACTGGAGTGGCTGATGCCTATAACGGTCCTCGCCGAAGGAAGGGGGGAGGGAGGTCGCCGAATGCGATGTCGTACTCGTACGCCGAGGCCTCGAGTCCTGGAGCTGGAAGCAACCCGAAAAACGAAACCGATAGGGGGGATGGGCCTCCAGGATGATGGCGTCCACCCGCTTGCTGACGGAGCGTAGACCAGCATATCCGTGCGACTCCTCCCTCCCTCTCCGCGACCACCCTCCTGCCCACCCTTGATCAGACACCGGCGCCCCTTTTGGACTCAGAGCGCCTGTCCCGCGGGCGTTTGGGCTCCGACCACCTGGACCATTACACGGTCCGCGGTGCAGGTCGGCGGATCAGCCGTCGGGACATTTTTCGGTGACCCCCCCACGTCCAGGTTAGCCGGTACACAGCTACACTTGGTGACCTGCAGGGGCAGCGGAGGCATTTAAGGGCCCTGGACGGAGAAAAGAGACGAGAGATCTGGGGAGAGAGGAGGAGAAGGGAAAGACAGCAATTACAGAATCACACTATCAGCCCCACGTAGACAAAAACAGTTGGCACCCAGATGCAAAACCCCACGTCGTGCGCACCCGCCTCCCAAGGGTGGTCTTTACAATAACAGCTAACACTCATTATACCGAAGAACGGAAATAACCAATGCATACCTCTTGGCTGCCGTGGCCGGACCGAACAAAGCTGGCGAATGCGACTAGTGGGCTGTGGGCAGAACTGCCGATCGAAGAACCACCCTGGCACGGCCTCTGGCCAACCCCGACGAGCCATGAGCCAATCTGGGCCGCCCTTCCCGGCCCCACCACTCTGGTCAGCACTGGTCGTGGCAACTCTTTACATGCGATAGAAGCGTGAGTCATTCACGACATGCTCGGACCTCACGGGCGGTGCCCCGCAAAAACGCCCCCTGGCCAGTACTTCACGACCGCCCTAGGGGTGGTTCTGGTCGCGGCGACGTGCGTGCTGGTGTCTGACACCGCGCGGAACGCTCAGCCTCGAGCGGCCGCGGCTGTCAGCCTGGCGCAGACCAGTCAATTCTCGAGAAGGGGATCGACTACAAAATTGATGTACCCCACGCGCGATCTGCTCGTCGGATCCGCGGAAAACATGTGGAATGTTCGTAGATCTGCGAAAAGACCACGAATTGCGCTTGCAAAACCGACGAGAAAACAAATTCCGTGGTTAATCAATTGTGTACTCGATCCCCTACTCGATCAATGTCTGCCGATTCTGGGCCACCAGCGGCGTTCAAACATGAACGCCCGCGCGGGGGTCGCAGCCGCGTCACTGCCGCACCCCAGCCCTGCTTCTGCTCCTGCTCCTGCTGTTGTTCCTCTTCCTCCTCCTCCTCCTCCTCCTCCTCCTCCTCCTCCTCCTCCTCCCCCTCCTCCTCCTCCTCCCTTTGACAGACAGACAGAGACAGACAGACGGACGGACGGACGGACGGACAGACAGACAGACAGACCGACCGACCGACCGACCGACCGACCGACAGACAGACACACACACACACACACACACACACAAACACACACACACACATACACAGACAGACTCTGCGCACGAAGTCTGCTCGAAGGGAGCATTAGCAAGGAGGCAAGCAAACCCGCGCCAGCCAGCAGGTTGTGCTGCTGCTGGTGCCCCACGCAGGGAGACAGACAGACAGACAGACAGACAGACAGACAGACAGACAGACAGACAGACAGACAGACAGACAGACAGACAGACACACACACACACAGACAGACAGACAGACAGACAGGCAAGCAAACAGGCAGGCAGACAGGCAGGCAGGCAAACAGATAGAAAGGCAGGCAGGCAGGCAGGCAGGCAGGCAGGCAAACAGACAGGCAAACAGACAGGCAATTGTCCTCGCCGCACAAAAAAAAAAACTACCCAATGATGGTGCGAGACGCGCCCACGTGCACGCCGGCCCAACGGAGGGGAACAACAGATTGGTGAAGATACAGCCTCACCTCCACACGAAGTCCTTCCGCCCAGCGCTGCTCTGGAGGAGCACAAAAAAATGCTGCTGTCGCACCAGCTTTCGCAGGTCCACGCGGACCCCCCCCCTTCCCAGGCGCCCGAGGCGGCGGCGCCAGATGCGCCGCCAGGGGAGATCCAGCGCCGACTCCAAAAGCACGCGCCTGCCTCCGAGAGTCGGCGGCGAGAGCGAGGGGGGGAAGTAAGAAGGAGAAGGCCTTCTCAGAAGGCGGCGAGACTTCTCAGAAGCCCTCTCGCGCCTTCTGACAAGTGTTTGTCGGTCTTGGGGGAAGACTTTCAAAACTCCTCGAAGTCCACGGGGACTTCCGAGCCTTCTGAGAAGGCCTTCTCCCTCTCACTTCCCCCCTCCCTCGCCGCCGAATGCTAGAACTGTGCTTCCTCCTCCGAGGTGCGCATCTGACCCCGACATCTAGTACACCCACAACGAGCGGTACGGCCAGAGAGCGCCCGCCACGGGGCACATACTACAACAGCAGTTCTCGGCGCGCGCGTCGCCCCTGGGGGGGGGGTGGGGGGCGACGTACACATAGCATCAGCATGATGGGGTGACGCCAAAAGAAGGACAATGCTTTCAGCACATCCCTACTTCCTTACACCCCTCTTCGACTGCCTTAGAGTGAGAACTCAGGCCTCTGGCCGCCGCCTCCTCCTCCGCGTGCTGCTCCACTGCGTCCTACCCCTCCTCCTCCCGCTCCTCTTCACCCTCCTCCCCCTCGTCCTCCTCCTCGTCGTCGTTGCCTTCAGGGTCGGCGCACCCCTACTTCCTTACACCCCTCTTCAACTGGCTTCGGGTAAGTACTCAGGCCTCCGGCCGCCGCCACCGCCTCCTCCTCCTCCTCCTGCTCCACTGCGTCCTCCGCCTCCTCCCCCCTGCTCCTCCTCCCCTTCCTCATCCGCCTCCTCGTCCTCGTCGTCGTCGTCGTCGTCGTCGTCTTCAGGGTCGGCGGCACCGGCCGTAAGGCCCTCACAATCAGCACGCCCCTCTTCGACTGGCTTCGGGCAAGACCTCGGGCCCCCCGCCGCCGCCCGGCACGACGCGGGCACCCTCGGGAGAAGACGCTCTCGACGGGGCGCAGCCGCTGGAGGCCGTCCCGAGGCGACAAAAGCCTCCGGGAACAAGCAGAGCGTCCTGGCGAAGGACCCAATCATATGCAGTTGTGAGTGCAGCGGCGGTGCGTATCCTATTCGGTGGAGCTCCCCATAGGGGTCCGAAACGCCGAAGCGGGTGCGGTGGTGCCATGGGGGTGCTGCTCTGGGGCCTCAGGTGCAGCTCCTCATGGGGCCACGAAACGTGTCAGGGGTATGCCGAAACGGCTGCGGTGGAGCCACGCGGGCGCTGCCACTGGGGCCTTCGGTGGAGCTCCCCATGGGGCCCGAAACGTGTGAGGGGTGTGCCGAAGCGGGCGCGGTGGTGCCATGTGGGCGATGCCTCTGGGGCCTCAGGTGCAGCTCCCTATGGAGCCCGAAACGTGTGAGGGGTGTGCCGAAGCGGGTGCGGTGGTGTCATGCGGGCGCTGCCACTGGGGCCTCAAGGGCAGCTCCCTATAGGGCCACGAAACGTGCGAGGGGTGTGCCGAAACGTGCGCGGTGGTGTCCATGCGGGCGCTGCCTCTGGGGCCTTCGGTCGCTCCCCATGGGGCCACGAAGTGAGGGGTGTGCCGAGGGTGCCATGTGGGCGCTGCCTCTGGGGCCTTCGGTGGAGCTCCCCATGGGGCCCGAAACGTGTGAGGGGTGTGCCGAAGCGGGCGCGGTTGTGCCATGCGGGCGCTGCCACTGGGGCCTTAGATGGAGCTCCCCGTGCGGCCACGAAACGTGAGGGAGGGGTGCCGAAACGTGCGCAGTGATGCCATGCGGGCGCTGCCACTGGGGTCTTAGGTGGAGCTCCCATGGAGCCCGAAGCGTGTAAGGGGCGGACTGCAGATGGATGATGGCAATAGCGATGATGGTGATGATGATGATGATGATGATGATGATGATGATGATGATGATGATGATGATGATGATGCTGATGCTGATGCTGATGCTGATGATGGTGATGGTGATGGTGATGGTGATGGTGATGGTGATGGTGATGATGATGATGATGACGACGATGATGATGATGACGTTGATGATGGTGGTGGTGGTGATGATGATGATGATGATGACGATGACGATGACGATGATGATGCTCATGATGGTGGTGATGAT